GATATAAATTTACATAAGTTTTGAGCAATAATGATTGATTATGTCATCAAAAATGGTCTTGATCGAGCACGAATCTCGAGGTATATTAAGCAGTAAAATTTAATCCAAGGTTAAATTCAGATGTCATTCAAAAACTCCTCAATTTCAACATCTTGTAGGCAAATTGATCTATTACTTAAAGGAGACAAACCAACGACACATCAAAATTAGACCAATTTCCAAGCACAATAAAAGCCACCAAATCGTCGTTGAGCTAATCTTATCATCCACATCAGGCTTGCTCATGTAATCAATGTTTGATATCCTCATTGCAGAAAATGATCACTCCACTGTAGCAGTAAACAACATGTAAGATTAATGCTAAAGAAAAAAATTATGGAGCCAGAAGATCACACAACATCCTTTAGAAAATAGATTCAACTAATATTTGCAGCAATCGTAATAGCATAATTAAAATTTAATTTTAATTAATTATAAAATTAAAACTAGAACAAAATTTATTGCAAGATTGGGTGAATTAAAAAGTTTAGTTAATTGATAAACACAAATGAGCGACAGAAGACTCCCCCCCCGAAAACATCAATCATTTCACAAATATATTTTCAGAAATTCGATAAGAAACAAAAAATAAAAAAAAAAGACTAAAACTCAAAAGCACTAAGAAAGACATAAAAAAATCAATAATACAAAATCACGCTAGAATACAAACTTAACATATTTGGGCCATTCAGATAAACCTAGTCATCCTAAAAACTAACTTTCTCCTGCTGTAAATTCAATAAAAAATTAAACAAAAATTCAATCAATTGAAAAATGAATCAAATCTCCAACTAGCAGCAAAAGATTACATAAAGCCAGCAACCAAACCCACATGCACATTCTCTTAAAAATGTCCAGCGATCCAATTCATTATAAATTGCCACATAATTCATTAAAATTATTTTTAAATTGTAAATATTATATTATTTTAATTTTTTAATAATTTATTAAAATATTATTTTAATTCTGCCAAAATTTATATTATTTTACAGTGAAATATTTATATTATTTTAAATTGCCAAATTCATAATAAATTTATAATTTTGTAATATTTATATTGTTTATAAATGTGTCAATATTTATATTATTTAAATTGAAAATATTTAATATTTATTTTATTTTATTAATTTAATAAAGTGAAACCAGTCATAAATTTTATTAAGTTTTCATTTTATTAAATTTTTGTATTAAAGGTTTATTTTTTAGAAACGGGATAGATTTTTTTATATTACTAATATTTCTATTGGCAAATTTTTATAGGGATTTTACATACATAACATTTAAAACCTAATAAAATACCTATTCAACACCTAAAAATCAAATTTTACTTATACCTTACGCATACACCCTTTCATCTAACCATTCGCTTATACCACTCCGTTAGCCGGACCGTCAAACCCCTCTCCCGCGAACCCAGTCGATTTTCCCGCGTGAAATAGCTTTGGCCAAGCTTCGTGCTTCTTTCTTCTCTCGTGCAGGTATGAATCTCTGGTTCCTCTCCTTACGTTGCTCTTCTTCGCTTGATCACCGTCTCATCGCGTGCCTTAGGTAAAAAATGCGGGCTTGGTAAACGCGAAGCCAATGCTGGCAAACCGAAGCATTGGGACAGAAGCCTTGGGCCGGAAGTAACTCTTACGATTTTTACACATGCAATGCTTAGCAACAAATGAAAAAATTTATTCATGCTTACCGATTTTTATTCATCCTACCTAGAATGAGTTTAACTCATTTTTTGTTTTCTTTCACCAATGCTTACGAGATTTGATTTTTAACTAATTTTTGTTTAACTTATTTATTATTTTTTTGCAAGAAATGAGTTCGATTAATTTTTGCTACTTCCCTGAAATTGGTGGATATTGGAGTGAGGTGCAAGGTCAAACCGATGAAGTATATAGGTGGAAGCAGAAAGCCCATAAAGCTTCAAAGAGATAAATCAGTTTGGTGTTGCTAAAACATCGAGTTGAAGCACTTTGTCAATTGGATACGGGGACAACCGTTCGACTTACACTATCATGTCATCGGAACTTCACCTAAGAATTACATGTTGGTTGCAAGGCGATTCAGATTTAGTTGACATGTTGAGCAGTTCTATGACAGAAATAGATTTGAGATAGCAGTCGCAATGAAACATTACGAGGTCGATATGTCCCAGAACATTCAAACTGAAATTAAACAACCAATCAAATGAAATGTATCAGTACTCTCGAATATTGGAGACTATAATGATATTATAGTAGATGATGTTTGTGATGATCTTTTTGTACACAAATTGATGAGGCAAATAGTCTATTTGTTGGTTCGCGGTTTGACATTCCCAAAGTTTCAAGCCAAGCTGTTTAGGTCGGCTGCAATTTTTAAAGAATTATGCTATTAAGATAAAGGCTAGTGACAAATCCAGAGTGATTGTTACTTGTGCGTATAGAGGTTGTCCTTGGGAATACGTGCTTCATTGTGTCATGATGGGCACTCCTTAGAAGTCCGGAAAATTGAATCAAGTCATTTATGCCTGGGGTTAATAGAGCAGGAAACAAACAAGCAACTACTAGTTGGGTTTGCTCATGAATATCATGGACATTGTAAAGAGAAATCCTGATATCACACCCAAGATATTAGCAATAATTTGGAGGCTACTTATGGATTATCCTTACCATATATGAAATTTGGCGATCCAGAGAGTTAGCAAAGAGTGTCATGTTTGGATCTGTCGATGATAACTATATGTGGGTTCCTAGTTTGCGATCTGAATTACTCAAACGGAATGTTGGCTCTCACATTACATACATGTGTGACAGCAAAGAAATGCATTCAGGCGATTCTTTTGTTTCTTTCAAAGTGTGTATTGAAGGTTTTATTATATGGATGTAGACATTTTAATTGGAGTAGATATGCATGTCACCTAAAATCAAAGTATCTTGGCGTACTGCTTTCTGCGAATTTTTTGGATGGAAATAATGGGCTTTACACTATAGCAATGCTGTTGCAGAATCAGAATCTAAGAAATCTTGGGAATGGTTTATGAAGAACTTGTTGGAAAGCTTGGCTTGTGAATAAGAAATTTAGCATTCATTTCTGACATGGAAAAGGGCCTTAGTGAAGCATATAAACTTATTTTTCAAAATGCCGAGCATAGGGTTTGCATGAGAACCTTCTCTTTACACATTAAAAATCACTACAATAGAAATAATATGTCTGAATCCTTTAACGCATGGGTCGAAGATGCGAGAAGTAAACCTGTTGTTGATTTGATTTGATATGATAAGAGAAAGCTTATGGAACAACGCTCGCAAAGAAAGATAATTTTCTGCTTCCTGGAGAAGTACTTGTTCCTCATGTGGAAGAGTATATTAGAGATATTCAACAAGGAAAGTTCATTATATCATTCCGCCATCGACGTCAAGCAGAGCTGAAATTGAAGTATTCCATGAAAGGCATGAGGTGGACATAGAAATGAAATTTTGTACCTGTGGATTCTGGCAATTAGTGGTCTACATGCATACATAGTGCCCTTTTATTGGAACAACCACACACAAATATTTGACATAACATATGTTGATGATCACTACTATCTTAATAGGTATTCCAATAATGTCTTAATTAATTGCCTTCTACATGCTATGCTAGTTTGTTACAATCTTTCGTTGATTTTTGAAACATATATAATGAGTATGATGGTGCGATCTCAACCTTACCAGGCAAGGAGATGTGGGCAGCAGTCAGTGATAATGTGGTAGTTACCCCACTATTACACTTCGACCACGTGGCAGACCAAAAAAAGGCGACGATAAAAAATTCTTAGAAGTAGGAAAGAAAACAAAGTTTGGACACAGGTGCAGTCGGTGTAATTTATGGCCATCATTAGAAAGTACCTGCAAGAATCCATTAAATGCGGTTGGAGAAGACATTGGTAATGAGAGCATAGTTCAGAATGTTGCATAGATGTTGCATAGTTCAAGAATTTTGAGAAATTTTGTTTACAGAATTTCTTTTTAGTAATTTTTGCTCATTCGGCTTAGCCAAAAAACTTAACCTGTGGAATTTTTTGCTCAATTCGGCTTCAGCCAAAACCTGTATGGAATTTTTTGCTCAATTCCGGCTTCAGCCAAAAAAACTTAAACCTGTATGGAATTTTTGCTCAATTCGGCTTCACCAAAACCTGTATGGAATTTTTGCTCAATTCGGCTTCAGCCAAAAACTTACCTTGTACGTATTTTTTGCTCAATTCGGCTGAAGCCAAAGAACTATCCTGTAAGGAATTTTTGCTATATTTGTTATATGGCTTCAGCCAAAAAACTTACCTGTAACCGCAGGTTTTAAAACTTTTTTGAATACACTTACTATGCTTAGTCTGATGCTTCATTTATAGGTTTGATTAAACTTTTTGGGATATATTCCAGATGAGTTTGAAATCATCTGCGATAAATGATTTTACCTTTCTTTTGGACTTTTTGGTATATTCCAGATGAGTTTGAAATTGAAAAGAACTTGCTTGTGGGATCTTCAGTTTGCTCTTTGCATTGAAGGACCATATTCCCTGTAAGGCTGAATTACGATACAAACCAAGACAATGCAATACGATGATCTGCTCTTGTTTGCTCCGAATAACACATTTGCTTACATAATCTGTAAGGATGAAATCTCGATAGCAATTGCAAACCAATAACCGAGAGATAACCAATAATATAGCAACTTAATTCCAGAAATATATTACATTTCATAGTCAAAGTTACATCCAAAAGTTTCAATCCTAATCAACAATTACAATTTCAGCTAGTAAGCAAATTTTTCACAAGCGATAACTAAATTAAACTTAGGATTATAACCAACATTTTTTTTATCTGCAAAAGTCATCTCTCATGATGATATACAACTCTTCAGCACAACCCGAGTTTGAATCGTTCAAAATCATTTACTTCATCACCCAACGGAAGAAGCTGCATCATCTTCTGAATCGGTTCCGAGAGCATCTATATAATTTTCTTCCTTTACTATGCGACTTCTGTGACTGTATACTGTACATTGCAAATTGCAATGACAATAAATTCGGTTACTTGGGTTTCTAATTGGCACCGTTGAAGAGCTTGAACTCATAGTTGCTGTCAAAAAAAAAAAACAAAACAAAACAAACAAAAACTGTTCAACTAAAAGATGAAATCAAATTTTTGAGACAAACAAAACAGATCTCAAATCAGTAAGAAATGGTTGCCGACCTTAAGAAACAGATCTCAAATCAGTGAGAAATGGTTGCCGACCTTAAGAAACAGATCTCAAATCAGTAAGAGATGATTGCCGACCTTAAGAAATGCTAAAATCTTTGAGAAATTTTGGAAAACTGAAATTGAAATAATCAACTCAAACAAAATGTTACCTTGCCGACCTTAAGAAATGCTAAAATCAGTAAGAAATGCTTAAAATCAGTAAGAAATGCTAAAATCAGGAAGAAATGCGTGCGAGAGGAAAACCTTACAACTTGCGATGCCAAGGGAAGCAGATGCGTTCGAGCTTAGAAGATGTATGCCAATGGAAGCAGAGGCGTGCGATTCGGATGCAATGGAGAAGAAATTACCTCTCCCGACTGGAGGAAAGCCAACGCGTGCGAAAGTGATGGAGCGGATCCAAAATCTTACCTTGTGCGACTGAAGGCAAGCGGAGGCGCAAGTAGGGGGGCTTTCTCTTCGCTTTTAGACGAAGATTGGGTTCGGGGAGAGGGGTTTGACGATCGGCTAACGGAGTGGTATAGCGAATGGTTAGAATGAGAAAGCGGTGGTATATAAGTAAATATTTGATTTTAGGTGTTGAATAGGTATTTTTATTAGTTTTAAGTGTTATGTGTGTAAAAATCCCAATTTTTAATTGGCTTATCCCGAAATTATTAATCCAGTTTCTTAAGAAATTAAAATTTCATACTCCGGTTTCTTTTTAAATTAGAACCGGATAATTAAGTTTTAAATTTGTTCCTTTTTAAATTATTTTATTAACATATTTTTAAAAATAATTTAAATTTAAACAGAGCTTTTTATAAAATGCTCAATCTTATTATATAAATAATAATAATAATTTATCAGCCGTTTTGACAATCTAAACCCCTCCGCAAATGTGTCATCTAGATCCTTCGAGATGCCCATGGAACCTTCACGCCCCTCCTTCTGGAGCCAATTGAAACTTCGAGCTCTTTCTCGACTCGCGTAGAACAGAACACCCCTACGACCCCCTCTTCCGCTGCTATTTATTCCTCCCACATCTCATCAGACTCATTCCTCTCAAGCAAAGAACTTTCAGAAATAAAAGAAAGATCAAAGTTACGATGGATGCGAGGATTTTCAGATTGGAGAACCCATTCTTCACGACGCTGCAGAATCTGGTTGATTTGCCCGACGAAATGGAGAAAGCCTTCAACTCCCCTTCGAAGACTTATGTTCGCGACACGCGGGCGATGGCTTCCACGCCGGCCGACGTCAAGGAGCTGACGTCGGCCTACGAATTTGTCCTCGATATGCCTGGGGTCAAATCTGGGGAGATCAAGGTTCAGGTCGAAGACGGCAACACGCTCACAGTTACAGGTGAGCGTCGCCGGGACGACGAAGACAAGGAAAGCGGCGGCAAGTACATTCGGATGGAACGCCGGGTTGGGAAATTTTTGCGCAAGTTCTCCCTACCCGATAATGCTAATATCGAAGCCATCTCGGCCGTTTGCCGCGACGGTGTTCTTACCGTCACCGTGCAGAAGCTCCCGCCTCCTGAGCCTAAGAAGCCCAAGACAATCGAGGTCAAGATTGCTTGAATCGATTACTACATCTGAAATTGAAATGCTTATCTAACTATCTTTGTTAAGTGTCTGTTGAGGTTTTGTGAGTATGGTTTGAGATCGTATCAACGTAATCTGTTTTCATTCCAACTGCATTTTGCGTTCTATCAACGTATAAGTTTTGCGATCTTTGTTAAGTGTCTGTTTGAGGTTTTGTGCGTATGGTTTGAGATCGTATCAATGTAATCTGTTCTCATTCCAACCTCATTTTGTCTCTCTATCAACGTATAAGTTTTATCCGTTTACAAGTGTAGCAAGCTTCGTTTAATTCCTCGGATGTGATCTGATTTTGGGGTTCTTAAAAGAGTGAAAACACGCATTACGGTTGAGTCCTGCAGATGCGGTGCCGTAGTTTGTGCTCCCCTTGGCATTCTTTCTCTGCTAACAGATGCACTTGTTGAATAGAAATGTAATCGGAGAAGCCATGATTTTATCATGGGAGCGTTGCTCCTGAGAAAACCTCGATTGGGTGAATTAGGGGTAACAGCTCCCTGTATTTTAGTGTTGATACAGTGCACGTGATTAGAGGTACATCAACAGAACAAATTTTTATAAAACCCTATCCAATAATTTGTATTACAGGTTCTCCCATGGCTCATCATCGCAGATGCGTCCTGCCATTGGTAGCCCAGGCAGTATAAATTTGCAATCTTATATATATTGGTGCAATTGATTGAAGTGGAAAGGAGTCATTTAAGAATAGAATCGGCCACTCATATCGATCTTAGTAGAATTTAATTTGAATATGAGAAAGTTCGTCTAATGACAATGCTTTCCTTACGCAGGATTGCTTCGTTCTCGTATATCAATAAATCTTTCAATCCACTGAATGTAGTTGAAGTTTCTTCAACCTCTAAAATAAGCTTTTCATTTCACCTTCAAGCTCCTTTCACTGACCTAAGCTTTAGCTTATAGGATAGTGGGATCAAAATTCGTGAAGTTCTTTATGTTGTACATAGCAGTTTATTTTTGTTAGAGATCACCTATCTGAAGTTCACGGACTATTTATTAGAGATGGAATCTCACAATTAGATGTACTGCAAAGCCCTATATGGGGTTTACGCCCACTTTGGGGATGTCGTACTTTTTGAATGCCATTAGTCATAGACTGATGGCCTTGAGGCTTATTATTCTTAATTTGTTATGATTGCAAACTTTTGAGCCGCATTTTATAATTTATTGTTGTCGCAACGTGGTTAAGTGCTGCACACTATGTAGTAAGGATTGCAATAATATAAGATATACGATGATTAGCAATGTAAATTGATTAGTACCCCCCAATACTCATCCATAAGATCATGGGCGTACCCATACTCACCGTTGGGTATGGGTGGGTACATGAGTGAGTGTGAGTATAGGTATCCAATGCAGGATTCTGATATACTGATTAAATTTATACTCTTTTTCCTTGGCACCTCGATCCTAAATTTTAGTTTTTTTTTTAGTTGTCATTGGAAGTCCTATCATCATTAGATTGTAGCAATAGCATTATTGAAAGTATGAGTGTTGTTGGTGTAGAACACCGTTGGCTTGGACAGTAAGAATGAGAAAGTAAATTGATGGGTACTTACAACACATACAAACTAAATATTATGATTCAATAAGTTTATAGAATTTAAAATTGATGAGTTTGTAATCTTGAAGGGTTTGATCACATGTTAGATATTCAAAAATATATTTCATATGTTAGTAGGTGTTAGATTTCGATCAAAAAACTTTTGATGATATGAAGTGTAAGTGCAACTTAATCTGACCTATAGTTTATGATCTGAAATAGTTAAGGAGCAAGTAGATTTTGATGGAAAAAATGAGTGAAAACACTTGTCAGGTCGAGAAGCAATTTGGGAAAAAGAAGTTAAGATGAGGCAGTTGTATCTTGATTTGTTCCTACTTATATATAAATATTGCGAACGATATTTTCTATAAGAGAAGGAGAATGTAATATTTGTTATTCCATGACCAACTAATTGAACTAGTTTGGATAATTGGATATCATCGCAGACGTTTCAATCGGTAAATAGCCCATAAAATAGTTTTCAAAGAAGATTAATAGCAGAGAAGAACTAGTGATTTCTATTTGGTCACAATCTATTTATTATTATTATTAATGGCTTATCCATTGAGTTGATTTATCCTAGTCACAATTGCTCGATGAATGCTTTGAAATGATAATCATATTTCCATCACCACCACATTTAACTAGTTATAATCATTACAATCTTATTAAACAAAACATTTGAAGTGGATGTAAAATGTTTTGTTAATAACTTACAAATGGGCAAAAGGAGGATTGAGGAAAGATACAATCTTAGTTTAGAGTTTTTGACAAATTCCTAAAAAGCTTTACATAGGCCTTCACTCTTTTTGAAAGAACTTCTTCATGCACCCTACTTTACATTCAAGAAGAACTCATACGTCAGAATTTGAGAGTTGTCATCCCCATCCTTTATTTTTTTGACAATTGATATAATTATTGATACGTCCTCAAAAAATTATCTTGATCGGGCACGAATTTCGATACAAAATCAAGTTGGAAACTTTCAAAATTAAAATTAGGATCATCCGAACTCTGATTTCAACAAACTTATAATCAAACTGTACGTCTCGAAAATACGAGCCCAAAGACACCAAAGTCCACTCAATCCGAGCCCAAATGGGTCCAAATCAAGGGTCCGAAGCGCTGTTGGATGGTTTGAACCACAATTTGGATTATCAAACAGTTTCCAAACATGACATGCTTATAGTCGAATCGAGCGACACGATGAGACGAATCCAACGAGCCCAAGATCACTGAATTTCGGCATCACTAAGACATTCAAATGTCCATCAAATGATCCATGATCAAGGGATTCAATATCGGCCATCCATCCAAGCACTCTATTTACCCTTAATCTCTCACCTATTTACGGTTCATGCCACATCAGAAATATATAAATAGACCCCTCATTCTCTTGAAAGGGGGACTAGAGCAAGAAGAGAAGAGAAGGAAGAGAAGGAAGAAGCTCCTCCTCGACCACCGCTTGAGTTCGTCGGACCACCGCCTGACGTCGTTGCTCCATCAGACCACCACTTGAGGCCCTTGCCTTCACCGGACCACCACTTGAGGCCTCACCTCCGTCGGACCTTCGTCGGACCTTTGCCTGACGTCATTGCTCCGCCGGACCACCACTTGAGGCCCTCGCCTTCGCCGGACACCACTTGAGGCCCTCACCTTCGTCGGGCCTACGCTTGACGTCGTTGCTCCGCCGGACCACCACTTGAGGCCCTCGCCTTCGCTAGACCACCACTTGAGGCCCTCACCTCTGCCAGACCTTCGCTTGACATCGTTGCTCCGCCGGACCACCACTTGAGACCTTTGCCTTTGCGAAACACCACTTGAGGCCCTTACCTCCGCTGGACCACCGTCGGACGTCGTTGCTCCACTAGACATCACTTGAGGCCCTCGCCTTCGCCGGACCACCACCTGAGTCTCGGACTTGTGCCTGATCGCCGCCTGAGGCCCGAAATTCTGTCGGACCACCACCTGTGGTCCGAACTTCTGCCGGACCACCACTTGAGGCCTCGTTCTCCACCATGCCATCACCTAAGGCCCGGACTTCTGCCGGACCACCACATGAGGCCCCGAGCTCCATCAGGACACCACCTGACGCCCAGAGTTCTACCCGACCACAATCTGATTCTCGGACATCTACCGGACCACCATCTAAGGCCCGGAATTCTACCTGACCACAACATGAGACTCAGACTTCTACCGGGCCACCACTTGATGCCGAGAGTTCTCCCATAGTACCACCCTTCTATTACGGTCTTTCGGACCCATATCTCCTCCCGACTATGGTCCTTCCGACCTCCATCACCATACAACGATCTTTCTGACCCCGGTCTCCTGCATACTACGGTCTTTTGGACCCCCTATCTCCTTCCAATTATGATCCTTTTGACCTCTATCATCAGACAACGGTCTTTCTGACCCCGGTCTTTTAGACCCCTATCTCATGCTGACTATGACCCTTCCAACCAAACAAACATGTCTATGTTGATTATTGTAACTCTCACCACGTAATGCGCTCTATAAGATGTACATTTGTAACATCAAGCTAAGGACTTTTCCATAAGAAGGGCCTCATTTGTAATCGACTACAAATATCAGTGGATTCATTCAAACTGGGCTAGACCCTGTGGTTTTTTCCCCTTTTTAGGGGTTTCCAAGTAAAAACTCTTGTATCTCTTATGAATGATACACTATCTCTTATCTGCTTGTATGTTGGATCTTCGTACAATGCTAAAACGTTAAACTATATATTTCTCTAGCGCCGCGAATACTCCAGGACGAAACAATTATGATGAAATTTGTAAGACCAACTGTCTCTTTGTTTTTCTTCTTTTTCTTAGATAACGTTCGTCATTGTTGTATTTTATTGTTGATATAGTAAATATTTAGTTTTATTTTAATGAGGGTAGATGTACGCCTTTGACTTAAATTATTATTGTTGCGTGTTAGAAGATTTGCTTCGATAGAGATTATATTTTACATCTTAGCAATGCACAAAAATTCAGCATGAACAGAGAAAAATGATAGGACAAAATATTTTTTTTTATGTTGAAAACCCGGAAAGGGAAAAATCATAGGGCCTGACCAAGTTGTAGAATTAGTTATGTAACAAGTAATATAAAAATCATACTTTCTTCACTATTGAACAAGAGGAAAATGTTAAGATTAACAATAATTGGATACAATCTTCACAATATTCTAGAAATGTTGATGATTTATAATGTGGATCGTCCGTGATGATGGTGGCTGATGATGGTGGTAATTGATAGTTTTTGGCAGTGAAGATGACTAAAAAATATAGGAGAGGTCTTTAATTCTTCTCATACTTTTCTCTTTTTCTTCTTTCTTTCTCGTGTGAAGAATGAGATGCATATTTATAATTTTTTGGAAGTGACATGCTGAGTAAATAGGGAGAAGATCAAGGGCATGTTGGGAGTGTTTCAATAGACTAGCAATATCAACTCCTTTAATCATATATAATTTATTGATCATTGGTGTCTTAATGGTGTCAAAATTTGATGATCTTATGCTCGTTGGATTCGTCTCACCGAGCCGCTCGATTCAACTATAGGCATGTCTCACTTCGCTGTCATTTTGTCATTCAATTAATATTTTGAAGCTTACAAATAGTCTTTGGTTGTTTAATTTGGACCTATTTTGAGTTACTCTGGTTGTAAATGATAGCTTTCTACCATAAAACTTTCTTAAAAAGTTTTGAGAAATGCATAAAAAAATAATAGCAAAATAAAATTATAAATTTTGTCCAAAAAGCAAATCAACTAAAAAATATGTCCCAAATATGCCCTAATTATAGGGGTGTCAATATTGGACCCCGACCCGAAAATCAGACCCGAACCTGACCCGACAAATTCGGGTTTGGGTCAACTCAAACCCGAACCATGTCGGGTTCGGGTTAGGGATTTCGACCCATTTGTAAAACTGGGTAGGGTTCGACAGAATTTGGTTGAAGAATCATGCGAATTGAGGGTGATGGCTAGCTTCTGGGTCTAGTCGGGTTGACCCAAACCCAAAGCGGGTTGGGTTTGGGTTTGAAAAAATTACCCGTTTGCAATAAACGGGTCAGGTTCGAGTTCAAAAAAATGACCCGTTTGCAAAAACGGGTCAGGCTCGGGTTGACCCGAATAGTGCTGGGTTAGTTCCATATTCGACTCAAACCGGACCTGTGACCCAAAATTGACACCCCTTCATAACTATTAGTCATGAGTAAATTTGATTATTTGAAGTTATGCTTAATTTCAAGCTATTAAATTAAATTATGTAGACTAACATTTTATATTGCAACAAAAATATAGCTTTGTGTCATAGACTCATAACGAAGAATATGAGGATATATTAATATTTAAAAGCATAATGTAATAAATAATCTTTGGAATTATTAAATAATAATTAAACTAATTTTTTTGTATTATATGAATATTTTGATGAAATTTCACTTTAAAATTAATAATTTATACATATTTTATAAATTGACTAAATAGCCTTTTGACTATACACCTATGGCCGCTACTCTTTTCTGGCTTTCATCTAGTTCTTTCCAGAAGCCAATAGAAGCTTCACGCCCTCTCTGGATTCTCTTAGAACAAATGCCCTGGCCCCGCATTCCGTCTGTATTTATACCCCCATCAGTTCAAATCCATCTCAAATCGAAGAATTTAAGGAAAAAGGGTGTGAGAAAGCTGAGCAAGAAGACGATGGATGCTAGGGTTTTCAGATTAGATAGCCCAATCTTCTCGTCGCTGCAGCACCTGGTAGAAGATCTGCCGGAAGAAATGGAGAAACCTTTCAACGCTCCGACTAAGAGGTATGTTCGCGAAGCGAGGGCGATGGCGTCGACTCCGGCCGACGTTAAGGAGCTGCCGTCGGCCTATGAATTCGTCCTCGATATGCCAGGGGTTAAATCTGGCGAGATCAAGGTTCAGATCGAGGACGGCAATGTGCTCACCATTACAGGTGAGCGTCGCCGGGACGAGGAGGACAAGGAAGGCGCAGGAAAGTACCTTAAGATGGAACGCCGGGTGGGTAAATTTATGCGCAAGTTTTCTCTTCCGGATAACTCCAATATCGAAAACATCTCCGCCGTTTACAGCGACGGTGTTCTGAAGGTTACCGTGCAGAAGCTGCCGCCACCTGAGCCTAAGAAGCCCAAGACTATTGAGGTTAAAGTTGCTTGAGTCGATATGCATATCTGAAATTGTTGGGTTTGTTTTAACCATCTTTGCAAAGTGGCTGTTGAGGTATCATCTGTATGGTCTGAGATTGGATTCTTGTAATCTGATTTCATCCCAATGGCATTTTATCGATGTATAGTTTCTATGAGTAATGAAATTTTGTGCGTTTGCAAGTATTGAAATGTTTTTCTTTTTTTAATTCTTGAGATATGTTCTGATTTTGGTTTTCTTGAAAAGATCGAATCCTGCAGAAGCAGTACCTTAATTTGTGCTATATATGGAGTCCTTTATCTACTAGCAGATCTAGTTGCCAAAGAGAAATTTTAATCTGAGAAAACTGAAGAAGGTTTTGTTCCCAAGTAAAATTTTCTTTCATCAATGGTCGATGATTTGATGGAGAAATGCTTCTGATAAAAAAAAAAAAAGAAGATGTCAAACAAAAAATGATAGGTTGTGAGATTTATGGTCGGTGGTGGCGATGCTCGGGATGCAGTGGTTGGGAAATGGCAATTAGATAATGATTTTTGGCAAAGGTGTTAGGTGATATTCATAAAGTTTAAAAATTTCTTAGATCTTTTTAGTTCTTAAAAATGTGCAAATTTTAAATAGGATTATTATTAAAAATTAAATTAGGGGAAGGAACATAATTAAATTTAAAAAGGATCTATTTTATGTTTTTAATTGAAATAAGAAAATACAAAGCAATTTTGTATTTTTCTTTAAAACGATATAATTATTTTTTTTTGCGTTCTCAACTTAAGGAGATCGAGAGAGAGAGAGAGAGAGAGAATAGGTATGTCATCAAAAAATTATCTTTGATCGGGCACAAATCTCGAAGCAAAATCAAGTTGGAAACCTCAGAAATTAAAATTGGGACCATCCAAACTCTGATTTCAATAAACTTATAGTCAAACTGAACGTCCCGAGAATACAAACTCTACGACACCAAATCCAATCCAATCCGAGCCCAAATGTGTCCAAATCAAGGGTTAGAAGCGCTGTTGAATGGTTTGAACCATAATTTGGATTAACAAACTGTTTCCAAACATAACGTGCTTATAGTCGAATCGAGCGGCTCGATGAGACGAATCCAATGAGCCCTAGATCACTGAATTCCGACATCACTAAGACATTCAAATGTCCATCAAACGGTCCATGATCAAGTGATTCAACATTGGCCGTCTATCCAACCACTCCCCATTTGCCCTTGATCTCTAACCTATTTATGGGCCATGTCAATCAAAAAAATCTATAAATAGTGCCCCTTTTCTCTTGAAAAGCGACCCAAGCCAAATGATTCAAGAGAGAGATCATCGATCACTCTTGCCTCCTTGCTCCTCCTCGACCATCGCTGAGTTCTGTCGGACCCCCGCCAGACGTTATTGCTCCGTCGGACCACTACTTGAGGCCCTGAGCTCCATCGGACCCCACTTCTGGCCCTAAGCTCCGTCGAACCACCACTTGAGGCCCTCACCTCCGTCGGACTACCACTTGAGGCCCTGAGCTCCGCCGCACCACCACTTTAGGCCCTCACTTCCTCCGGACCTCCACTTGAGGCCCTGAGCTCCGCCGAACCACCACATGAGGCCCAAACTTCTGCATGACTATCACTTGAGGCCCTTACCTCCGTTGGACCACCACTTGAGGATCTCAGCTCCACCGGGGACCACCACTTTAGGCCCTCACCTTCTCCAGACCTCCACTTGAAGCCCTGAGTTCCACCGGACCACCACCTGAGGCTCAAACTTCTGCCTGACCATCACTTGAGGCCTTGAGCTCCGTCGTACCATCAGTTGAGTCCTTGAGCTCCACTGGACAATCACCTGAGACCCAAATTTCTACTAGACCTCCTCCTAAGACCCGGAGTTCATCCAGACCACCACCTAAGGCTCGAAGTTATACCAGACGACCACCACCTAAGGTACAGAGTTCTACTAGACTGCCACTTGACACCCACAGTAAACCCAGAGTTCTTGCAGACCATCACTTGACGTCCAGAGTTCCACCGGACCACCATCTAATGCCAGACTTACGTCAGACCACCGCCCGACGATTCTGCCAAACTAATGCCAGCTACCAACTGATGACCGAATTTTCAAGTAGCACTGGACTTCTACCAATCCACCAAGTGACATTGTAATTTCATCCCAGATTGTTACTATATTTCAACCAAATGATTGACATTTGTAATCTGATTGCCCTCAGGGATGAGTCAGCCCATTGTAATATACCCAAACACTAGTAGAATCATTTCAGACTGGGCTACGCCCCGTGATTTTTCCCCTTTCCAGGGTTTCCACGTAAAAACATCTTGTGTTCTCTATGTACGAGCTGGATATTCGTACAACGCCAAGACTCAGAATTTTAACTCTATCGTCGTGTATATTCTAGTCCACAACAAACCTAAATACTTTAATATTGAATTTTAATTAAAATATTTATAATTTATTATATTAATATATAAAATTTTATTAGTTACATATTTAAATATTATATTAAATTTATAATACCTTAGATATTATAATTTAAAATTTACCTTTCTCTCTACGACTCTCTTTCTATCCCGTCTCCCTCTATACTTTTTCTTTGCTCCCAACTCTATTTATTTCTGCCTCTCCATCTCTACAAATTGAAAATGTAAAAACAAATTCATTTTTAATGGAAAATGCAAAATTGTTTTGCATTTTCTTATCTTAACCAAAAACCCAAAACTGATCCTTTTTTAAAAATTTTTTAATCTTGTTCCTACTTTTAATTTTAATCTTTGAAAATGATCCTTTTTAAAATTTTCCCCCTTCAAATTAAGTAGAGATTATGTTCGTATAGAGATCATATGTTAATTTATAATATATAGCTAATCATATTTAAATAAATTTAATTAAAATTTTATTATAATATTATAATTCATTTCTTAACATTAATATTTAGAAGTTATTTGATTAGCTAAAAAAGAAATGCAAAATAAAAGAAATATTTTAGCATTATTCAGATGAGTGTAAAACAAAATGCATAAGATTAGTTCAATTTTAAAATGAGTGCAATGTAAAGTGCAAAGAGGACAGTGGTGGATGAATGGCATTTGTGGTCGTTGGCAACCGACAGAGGTGGCTGTTGGTGGTGATAGGTGGTAGTTGGGTTGGCTTGTTGTAGATGACATTGGCTATGATTGGTGGCATCAGCGGCTGACAGTGTTAGACAAGAGTGCGTGGCAGCTGGCAGGGGATAGGAGGTGGTGATGGCCAATGGTGGTGGTTAGTTGTAATAATCCAAAATTATAAAAAAAAAGTAAATTTAAAATGTTAAATACTTGAAAATTTATGTTTTAAACTTATTTGCACGGAGAAAAGATATGCATGCGTTTTGGAATGAGTTTGAGGAGTTTGGAGTATTTTTTAACAAAAAATTTGAAATTTTATTATTTGAGAGCCTAGGTGTTGGGTGCCTGAGTTTACCGTGCATATGAGTTTTACTATTTTTTACTAATTCAATAATTATTATAATTCGTTGATGATATGCATATTATTTTTTTTTTACTTTGCTTTCAATTCAATTATAGGGTTTTAGTAACTTGCTAGACTATTTAGCTCATATATGAGATTTAAATGATTTCAGGCCATGACAAAAGATTAGGAGTGTGAAATTAATCATTATTCTCCAGGTTTACTATTATTTTATTTATTTTCTCTTGTAGTTATTCTTTTACACTTAAAATTGGATGACGTGTTATAATTATGTAATTTTTGAGTATTATGATTTTGGGAGCAATGATAATATAGATATATATTGATGCTTTAAATTTTAGAAAGATTTCCACTAATAATCATTAATTAAAGAAAATATATAGCTTTGAATTTATTATTAAAAGATAAAAGAAAGAATTCTTTTAAATTAGATTCTTGGGTGTAACAAATTGCACTTTAAAAATAAATTAAATTTATTATTTAATTCATTTGAGCACCACAACCAGTCGAACAGAAGAGAGGAGTGGGTTTGGCAGGGAGGAAAAAAGATTTTTGAGTTGCTTTGGGTCATCTTTAGCTGTCGGCTTAGTTGAAAAAATTGTTTGGATCGATGTAGGTCACACTATACCTATCTCAATTTTAAGAAATATATTTTTTTTTTTCAAATTTTTTGATTGAATTTTTATTTTTATTTATTACCAAAAAAAGAGGATAACTTTGCTCTTGTGGAACTTTCACCGCGTAGTTTTTTATATATTAGAATACTGATTGTTCTGGATATTTTTATTATAATATTTTTAAATTGTACCTGGTAGAATAAAAGTTATTATATTTTGTATGATTTGCACTAAATAAATAGTTGGTATTTTTATTCAAGCATACTATTAATACAAGTATTGTGGATAAATATGTATATGTAGTTGAGTAATAAATGGTCGTTTTGTTTTGATTTGGTTCAGTTTTAGGGTTGGTTATTTCTTAAGTTTATGTTATCCTTGTAGTCTCATTCCTTTATAAGTAGAGAGGCTGTAATAAAACTAACTAAAGGCCAAACAATACAATTAGTTTCGATTTGTTCTTTCTTCACTCTCTCTTTCTCTCATCAAAGAAGTTCAAGAGGAACTTCAACTTCCTCCCAAGATCCAACAAGTGGTATCATAGCTAGGTGAAGGAAAATAAAGGTTCCCAACAGGGATAATAGAAGTCTTCGATGTACCTTTGGATGTCTTACCAGAGGAGTAGCTTGAGAAGGCACTTGGATAATAAAGGAAATCCCAAGTCTTTGAGGTACCGGTGGAGGACGAGGAAGCAAACCTAAGGTCCCAAGTACTTGATTCTCTAGCATACTATGAGGAATCCAATAGGGAAGAAAAGGCGAAGGACCGAGGGAGAAGGATGGGCCTATGACAATCCATGGGCCTTCAACATGGATTCTAGAAGGCATGCGATGAGGGCATTACAAGAATAGGTAGGGGAGAGTGTCACGCCCAAATATTGGACTTAGATGTTTGGCCAAATCCCTTGGGCATGACTTGCCGAATGAAGGCCAAAAAGTCCTCTAGAACTATTTCTAAATGGGGTCACATGACATTGGAAGGTTTTGGAAGGATATGGAAGGTTCTAGAAGATTCTAAAAGGCTTTAAAGACTTTATATTGTTCTGGAGGATTCTAGAAGGTTTTGAAATGGCTTAGAATTTTTTAAAAGATTCTATAATACTCT